TGAGTTTGGCAACACCTGACTCCCTACCCACTAGCCTGCAATTCCTTCCCTTTCCTCACTGCTTCCTGACCACCCTGCCTTCTTACTGTTGCCCCTCCTCTAGACTGTAAATTCTCTTTCCTGCCTCTAGGCTTTGGGAATACTCTTCCTGGGGCTCTTTACATTGGCCACATTTCATCTTTCAGTTTTCATCTTACATGTCACCCCTCAGAAGAGCCCTCTCTGACCACCTAATCCAAAATTTCAGTCACCTTGCTGGCTCAATGATTCTGGTTCTTCATGGTGCTTCTCAATCTATAATTTTCTTACTACTTTTTTCACCTGCTAATTGCCTGCCCCTCCTCTAGACTGTAAACTCCATGCCTATCTTGATCTTCAGTGTCTTGTACAAGCTGACACAAAACAGACACTCAATTTGTGCGGTGACACGATGAATTAACCTCTAACTCACAACCTCGTGCTTTTTGTGCCCTCTGTCCTTCTCTGTACTGCTGCGCAAGTCCCATTTTACAAGTCTAGGTTCGCTGTCTTGCTCTTCTAGTTTTGCGTTTACTTTTCAAATCACTGAGCTCACAGTCGAATGTACAACCTCTTAGCAAAGGGCTGCCCAGAACTAACGACAACGTCTCCGACTGGTGGACCAGTCTGATTCCCAGCTCTTTTTCTGCTGTTCTGAGGCAGGGCAGTTTCCCTTTTATTGTTTGTCTCTTCACTTATCTCTCTTAATACTGTTCTGTGTGGGTTTTGTCTACTTTCTTGACTTTCTTGACTTTGAATTCAAGATGCACTCAGTTCTCTCAACTTGTGATAACCTGTGCTTTGTATCATGTTCTGTAGTTATTACACAAGTCTTCATTTAAAAATTAAAAACAACCCACTCCTTCTATGTCATGGAAAAGGAAGCATTCACATGTAAGACAGTTTGCCTAACAAGCAGTATATATGTATTGAATGCTTCACATTTGTCCAGCACTGTTGATGTGTCCCAATGACTGGGAAGATTATATACACATCTGAAATGGTTAAGTGACAGAAAAATGTAGAATACAAATAAGAATCAAGATGAGTGGTAAAAATAATGGCCCCTTAGGAGTTCAGTGAAGGGTGGAATCATCACATGTTGATTGGAGTCAGTTCCAGGGAGGAAGGAACAAATATTTGCTCAGTGCCTACTTCATTTCCAGCATTCTCATATGTTTCCCCAATTACACTGGGGTCAGCGCCATCCCCAAATTACTGATAAGGAAACAGGTATGGGGAAGGGAAGTAATCACCTAATATTGCAGCGCTGGGATTTGAACTCTAGTATGCCTAATTCTAAATCAAGAGATTTCTGCACTACACCACCTCCTTTCCAGCAGAGCTGAGGAGACTTGCGTGGGACATTTGGTGGGACTGGGGTTCAGGTCCAAGCACTTAGAAAATTAAGATTTGGCTGAACAAAGGGATGAAGGAAAGTTATTTTAGGCTAGTGTCATCACAAAGAACAGCTAGGAAATTAACGTGAGCCTGGTACTGTAGGATAGTCAAGATTGGTCTGAATGGATGTTTCTAATTGCAGGTGACCCTTGCATGTTGTTTAGGCTCTGTTTTCTTTTCTTAACTTTTAATATCCCATTAATTTAGTGACTGCACTTATTTAAAGATATATTATGTAATAGTTCATTAACATTGCTTTTTAAAAAAATCCTTATATTTCATGGAACATTTTTGTATAGATCTTTTTAAATGTATCTATGTCTGATGATTAATATCTAACATTTTCATGCACCCGGAAAATCTTTTTAGAATATAATTTTAGAAGTCTTTGCAGCAGACAGGCCAAGCCCATTATTTGGAAAGAAGTTAACTGTGCCTCTCGGCTCAGCCCCCTGTGGCAGTTTGAGAGAGCAGCCCTGATGCGTGCACTTGACCATCTCTGCACTGGTGAGTTAGGACCGCTCAAGAAAAGCCTGCCCTGCTTGGAGCTACAGTCTCTTGCCAGTTTGTGAATAGCCTTGTTCCTAATTTATCTCACTTCTCTTTTCTGAGCCAGTGACCCAGATTCATTCAGCTGTCGGAAGCTGCACAGGGCTGTGCAGACAGGTCTCCATGTTGCTGTACTGGAAAAAGTCAGGAGAAAATCACGAGCTGCCTAAAAATGGGATAAGATAATAGAAAAACTCTCATGCAGTTACTTTAATTCAAACCAGACCTGTGTTAGTGATTAAAATGTCCCAATCCACCCTAGGTACATGTAGGCCTACTCATATTTGGCTTCTGCTCCATAACTGCAGTCTACTGCTTCCACCACTAGGTGGCAATCCCGTTTTAAAGCAGATTTTATTCAAACAGTAATGGTGTTCAAGATAAAAAGTAAAACCGAACTGTTTTCACTCTATCATGTTGCCAAAAAAAAAGTCTTAACATTCTTGTGTTAATGAATACGTGGGAAAGCATAAAATTCCAGACACCACTGGTGGGAACGTAAGTTGATTTTGGGGAGGAATTTGGCAGTGATGTTTAAGCTGTGCACATCTTGGGGCCAGCAAAGACTCATCCAGCTGTGATCATTTGATGATGATGATGACTAACATTTATTTTGTTCCCATGATGTGCCAGGCATTGTCCTAAATGCTTGCATCACTGTAATACTACTACTGTAATAGTAGGTACTATTATTTCTCCATCAATTTACAAATGAGGAAATCAAGCACAGAAAGAAGGTCAGGTAACTTGCCTTAACTTCACAGAACTGGTTTAAGTGGCAGTGACAGGATCCACACCCTGCTTCCTCACATTGCATGTGCCTCCTGTGTGCTAGAAAACAGGCACACATGAGGGTGTTGTTCACTGCAGCAATTGTCCGTTGTAGCAAAATATTGTTAGCCTGTCAGCCCATTGGTCAGACAATAAAGCATGAAGGAATACTGCAGAGCAGATAAAAGCCATGCACTAGATCTGGAAGTGGTCAACTGGAGACATCTTAAAAATAAATGTTGAGACAAGGTAACCAAAAACACAGAAAGCTCAACTGTATATTATTCATGGAGACCAGTGCAGGTGGTGAAACTATGAAAGGATACACTGAAAAGATATTCTCAAATTTATAATGGTATTTGTCTCAGGGGAGAGAGAAATGGGATTAGGGAAACAAAGATAAGGACTTCTAAGTTTATCTCTGATGTTCTATTATTTTTTTCTCTCTCCCCCTACCTCTTGAGCAAAAAGGAAAAACCTCAAACCCTAACCCACAACATCATTTTATGATTGGGTCTCCACAAATGCTTTACTCAAATCTGACAGTTAGTATTGTCCAGGAAACGTATAAGACTTTTCCTTCATCAGGGGCATCAATCTCCTCAGAGGTTCTCTCAAGCTCTCTTATGTAGTATAAGTAACTTAAGAGATTCAGTAGGTTAGACTTCCAGCAACATCTCTTTGCTTGACCTGTAGGCCTCAGGGGCTGGAAGGGAGGGAAGGGAGGTAGGGGAGGGAAGAAAGAGAATGGCAGGGAAGCAGGGAGATTCGGTTCTGCTTTTTACTTAGTGATTGATTCATTTAAGACAGTATTTCTCTTTAGGGCACTAGCTCCAAACAACTGAAGTATTTATTTAAAAATAAAAGTTCCAACTATTTCCTTGCTTCACTTTTTTTTTTTGGTGGGAGAGGGAGGGTAGAGTAGGTTATAATCAAATGTTTAATGCTCAGATGGAAAGATGCAGTGATTAAAACAAATTACCCCTTTCCAGCTTCTTTTAAAGTTGGTAGGCAAATTGATTACCTAGAAACACATTGACTTATGACTAACCCTCTTCCTGTATTTATCAGAGTCAACAAGTATGAAACCATAGGTTGTGTGTTGACACATTTTCTTAGAACTATAATAGGTTTATAGAGGTTAATGTTCTAAGATTAATAAGTGCTAATTGCTCTGAGCAAGAGGACAAGTTCGAGGAGAAAGGAGGCATTTTGGGGGAAGAAACTGACTTAGTGCCAGCATGGAGCTCTTGCCAGCTTTTAAAATGCATTCTTATTAAATACATTAGTATGTAGAATTGCAGAAGAGAATGCAGACAGCTTTCAATCTAATGGATTGTCTCAAAGATCAAGATTATAAGGCTCCGTTTCGTACTTCTGTGAAGAAACCCTCAGAAGAGCAATTTCTCTCTTTTAAAAATATTTTACCTCCACTGCAGAATCTATCACAAATCCTCTTTCATTTCACTGTAGTTTAATATGCTATGTATTTCTTAGGGGAACCGCTAGTATCCAACAATTATTAACATACTTTTTAATTCTTGAAAAATCGTGACTCATTTAGAAACTCAGATTTGGTTTTCTCCTCTTATGCCTCAGTAGTGAAAATAACCTTTTTTCACCAACATTTCCTTCTCAGAGGATTTAAGACTTACTTGGCAAGATCCGAAGATTATCAGGATTGGAGAAATTGGTGTGCCCTTGTGTTGTTCAGGGAAACCTACCTAGAAACTTGCCTTCAGTTCTCCTACCAACCATGTCACCTTAGTCAGACTCTGAGGTTCTTCATGGAACTCTTCATGCCACCATTTGCTGGGGACACTCTTGGTCCAAAGAGACAGGTCCAAGGTGCATTTATATTAACCCAAGAGAACTGCATTAAAGTCTGGTTGCGTCTAGGCTCCTAAATTCTAGGGTGAGGCTTATTATAGCAGTGTGGCAAAATCTGGTGGTACAATTTTTAGTTTTCTCACTTGATTTCTGACTTTGGAAATTACGGGCTACAGGAATATATACTGCTTGAAAAAAATGCTGGTATATATAAGAGATCATTCTTAAGCCTCCTTTCTTCTACCTGATCCTTACTTTCCTTGCCAGGTGACCGTGGTTCAGGACACCTCCTAGTAAGCCTTTACATAAAATACATACTACTGGGCCAGTGGTAAAATTGTGAATTTAAAAATGAAACCTAAACAAGTTCCACCTTTGTGAAATTAACCTATAAACACATAAATTTAAATAAAAAGAAACCAAAAGCCTCATAGTTTAATTCACATCTTGTATTTTCTTATAATTATAGCTAATGAAAGAAAAAAAGTACTTGTAGCACCCTATGATTTAAGACAGTAATTGTAACTTAAATGCTGACCTGCTCCAAGAAACAGGCAACCTTCCCCAGGGCCACAGCAGGGATTTATTTAAGTTTCCCAAACCCAGTGACAACTAATAATTTTTATTACTTGTCAAACACATAAAAAAATCAATAATTATTGTTCCCCACAGGTGAAAAATTCCACAAATGATATTTTCTCTATGGACATGATTCATTGACTCAAACCAGAACACAACTATTAAAATACCTACAATTATGAATCTCAGACTGCGGTATGGCTACTTCTAGGGGTTACCTGCTAATATGCCAAGAGGTATTATTGCTAACGATATGGTGAATATGCCCCATCTTTCCAGAGAGCAATATTTACTCGAGGCTAAGGAATTGCATATTTATTTTTCAAAAATGTTAAATGAAAGTTTTCCCCAAAGAAATATATAGAGAAACCCAATCTACGACACAAGTTTTAGAAAACTGCGTCGGCAGTAGTTGGCTGATGCAAATTCTCCTTCCACACACAAACTGGTGGGGCATGGCCCCTGCCGTCCTGATGTACCCGAGGAAATGCTTGGCACACCAAGCCTCAATGCCCTCCAATTTTAGTTCAAAGACTGGGCGTCCTGCCTGGGACACAGAAAGGTCCCCAGGGGTGGGGTCCAAGAGCCACCAATGCTGTGCCAATCCTGCTTGCTCTTTTTTCGGGTAAATCATAGCCAGAGGTAGCATAGTTGGTCTTTTATGTTCACAAGTCCAATTCTTTAAACTTTTCTGGCTTTGGTCTTTTTTGTTGCAATAAATTTCAACAAATACTTCTGCTTATGTTAATATAGCTCTCAGATCCTGTGGCACCTCCATTTTAGGTCATAGTTAACAGTGATATCTCTTCCCAAACTGTGAGAACATGCTGAATGTACTCAAATAGCATCCTGCCACTAATCTGATTTCTGAATATTCTGGTTCTTTTCCTTCTTTGTATATTCTTCTAGTCGAAGAAGCCACTTTGTCCAGTACTGGGAACAGAGCTCTGTGTCCATGAAATGGGAGTGGGCAGGGGATCCATCTTTGTAGGCCACCACAATTAAGCCATACTGAACCTAGGAAGAAAACAGGAAGACAAGAGTTTAGGTTCATTTCCTCCTTACTCCAGGGCAAACTCAGAACAAAATAATCTATAGTGATATCTCCTAATTCAGTTTCTAAGAGGGGTTGATGAAAGACTGCACCAGCATACATAAGAACACAAAGATGATAGATAAGACACTGAAGAATGGACTGTTATCATTAAAGAACTATTACCACCACCAACAAAAAGCCCAGGAAGAGTGTGGGGGAAAGTGCTTTTTAAAGTGGTAGATGGACAAGAAACAGAGTAAGCAGTGGAATATAGACAGAGTAAGAACCATAAGAAGTTAAGTAGCTATAAACAAGCATCAAGCAAAACTTGGAAGTAGAGGCTCAGTGTCCTGACCTGAAAGCTGTAGTTGGCATCTTGGTTTATGGCACCCATGTATGCCACAACCTGCAATGGGTTGTCAAATGTATTTTGGATAAAAGGTTTTGGTTTCTCTGAGGTCTTCCAATCAATCACACACAGCTTGCCCCTAAAGAGAAACCAAAGAAATCTTTGTATTAATGGTTCAAACTAACAAACTCTCTATTAGGTTAACTCTCTTATATATAGTTTACTATTGTTACCCAATGACTGTTGCTTCTATTCTCCACTTTCCAAAAAACCAGCTCCTCTGAGCTTTACAGCTTAGGGTTACAAAAATCTGATGGGAACTGCTTCCTAAATTGAACTGATGAGATCTACAGGTGCAGGCCTATGTGGGAGTGCTGGGAAATAACTTTTCCACAGTTCAAGTTTCTACTCTCTCTCGAAATTCCTTCAGACCTTCACAGCCTCCTTTCCTTTAACAGTTGACAGGGAAATTGAAATGACACCTATTATTATCTTAGTTGATTTTGCTTCAAATATCTAACAGAATGAACCACAATAAACCAGTAGGAAAGTCTTTATCATAAAAAACTAAACATCATGGTGCCTCAGAAATTCTCTTGTGCAAAAACCAAAGCTGGGGTTCAAATCCGTCAACACTTACTAGGCACCAACTATATGCAGAAATACAAATAAGGAGACCTAGTCCTTGCCCTAAAAGGTCACACACATGGTGGGATGTCTTACTATTAAGGATATTGGAGGAAAAAAATTCCTACCATTTTTTTTTTAAGTCAAAAGGAACATAGAGTGGATGAATGGACTAATAACTGGTGACCCTCAAAGGGCTCTATCTGTTCAATTTGCCTTTCATAATTTCAACTTCAAGACTGGCAGTCTATAGGGAGATTTTGTACAATATATTGTGTATGTTACCTGTCACTATAGCTCTACAGTTACAACTTATGCATGGTATTTATAAAATCAGTCTATAGTAGTGCTGTCTAAAATTAAAATAAAATGTGAGATACACATCATCTTAAATGTTCTTCAGCTACATTAAAAAAGAAAAAAAAAGAAACAGGTGAAATTTTAATATTTTATTGAACCCAAAATATTATCATTTCAACATATAATAAAAAAGTTATTAGTGGGATATTTTACATTTTTTTTTTCATATTAAGACATTGAAATATAGCTGCCATTCCCAGTTTTCTTTCTTGAATAAATCAAAATACCCTAAAAATAAAGATTTCTGCCATGGATCACTGTTTCTATTTGTGGAACTATTTTTTTTTTTCCAAATTATATAATGTGTTTTTATTTCTCTCATAATTTTAAAAATGTGAACATTCTGTAATTCAATCACAGCTTTTACTTCTAGGTGATTTCTTCATGGTGGTTTCAATTCCCTTTTAAATAACTCTTGTCTCAGAGGGAAGTTAGCTTTTCATCATTCTTTCCATCTAGATAACATCCAAAGACAAATCTCATAGGGACAAGTACATGTACCCAGTGGTCACGTACAATCTGAATTAAGTTCATCATGAATGCTGTGGTCTGGGTGCCAACAACGACCCCATAACCAAGGGCAACGGCAAGCCCATTGTCCGGCCTCTATTTGTAGAACTTTAAATACTGTGGAAAAAAATTTAGTAGTGTAAATCCAAATTAAAATTGCAATAAGACAATCTATAAATAGCTCTTAAACAAAGATGCATGGCCTACTTTAAGTGAAATGCAGATTGAAATGATAAGAAACGGTGTTATCAAAATTATTAACATTGTTATTTAAGGTGTGCACAAATAAGCACACTCATATATGTGATAACTTAAAATATACAAACCCTTTCACACAGCAATTTCCTCTTTAGCTATAGACTAGAGGAGAGTAATGGTTTGATATTCTGGGTAGAAGTTACAGTGCCCGGAAAACTTAAGGAGTACTCATGTTCAGGCCTACTTCAGATCAACTGAATTTACCCAAACTGTATGCATCACCCACCAAACCAACCAAACAAATGAACTTGTGTATCTGTCTAGAGAAACTCTTGTAACAGAATACAAGGAGACACATTCATTTGCCGTAGTTTGTAATCTGAAAAACCAGAAATAACTTGAATGTTCCCAATAGGGAAATGGATATGGTTCATTCGTACAATGGAATACCAAACAGCAGTAAAAGGAGAGAACAGGATCAAAATAATAATGCTGATATTTACTGAGTAGATAGTGTGCATTTTAAGTACTGTACAGGGAACATCTCATTTAATTTTTATAACCCTAAGAGGTAGGTACTATTATTTGCTTTATTTAACAGATGAACAAACTGAGGTACAGAGAGGCTAAGCAACTAGCCTAAGGTTAAGATGAAAAGCCATGCAGTCTCCAGAACCCAATATCTTACAAGCTCTGTGATACTAGAGATTTGTGATCTAGAGATTTCTATATATTGTGACTGTCACAGTTATGTTACAAGACACAGTGTGTTGCATTTGTGGATTATACATAGCATTATGAGTGTATGTGCACATATGTATGAGTGCAGAAAGTAGACTGGAAGTGTGCTGTGTGTTAAGTAGTATAAAAAGCAGACCAGAAGGGCACAGCACCAAACTTACAACAGTGACTATCCTTGGCCAGGGGATTGTGAGAGAAGAGGTGGTTAAAGATGACATGAGCTTAATTTGTAATATTATATTTCTTTTAAAAAAATCGAAAGCGAATGTGACAAAGCATTAATAAGCTGTTATGAATAGTAGAAAATTATTAAAACAGAAAAGAATGCTGCAGATCTATATAAGCTAATAAAGAAAGATCTCTAAAACATTTTCAAGTGAAAAATAGCAGGGTTTAGCATTTTTTGTTAGTAAGTGGGGGTGGGGACAAATGATTGTACATGTTATCATAAAATCTCAGAATCACAATAACTTTTTAAACAGAGGTTGAAAATGGAATGGGGGTGGAGGATTCTAGGAAGATGGCACCAAGGACTCTGTCCACCCACTTAAACAACAACTGCGATGGCAGAATGATATAACTATTATGGAAGTATAGAGTCTGCTGAAGACTTCGATGGTAAACCGTGGTTAATTTTTGTCAATTTCAGCTCTTAGCACAATAGAAGCCACCCATCCCCGCTCTTCATTCATGGGGCAGGCAGCTGTGCATATGTTCCTGGAACAGCTTGTATATAGCTTGTATGAGTCAGAGTGGACAAAAAGGACCATGTCCTCCAAGTATCAGGGATCTGTGTCTCATCGCTGATTGATGTTTCTAACCACACACATACAGACAAAGAAGAGGGTGGCCATTGTTGTTGTACCTCCCCCTACTGTTGTAAGCTCCTCTTCCTCCAGATGAAGTGATTTCCAGGGATTTAAAGGGCTGGCACTCCCCCCACTCCTTCATTTTCTCTTTTATCCCTTCTGGAAGTCAGAGCTAGACTATGACATCCAAATACAACTGCATATATGGGGGAAACTAGAAAGTGATTGTGCAAGTCCAGGGAAAGGCACAGGCTCATAAGAGACCTGAGAAGACCTTAAGTTTACGCCTCAGGTTGATGGTTGGCACAGAGGTAGCATACGACAATAATAAACCCCCAAATAAACAAAACCCAGAAAACCTTGGGGTAGGGGGAGAATTTGATTTCCAGTTACCACAATATTAAATTCAAAGTACAGTTTTTAACAACAAATCACAAGGCATACAAAGAAAACAGCAAAATATGGCCCATTCAAAAGTAAAAATAAATCAACAGAAACTATCTTTGAAAAAGATGTGATGGTAGATCTACCAAAGACTTTTTTTTTTGAGTCTTAAAGATGCTTAAAGATCTCAATAAAGGTAAATACACGGGCAATTATAAAAGCTAGTACTGTAATAATAGTTTGTAACTCCATTTTTTGTTTTCTACATGACTTACAGGAGTAGTATTTTTTTAAAAAAACTGTTAATCTAAAAGCTAGTTTTATTTTAACTATTGTTTGTGACTCCACATTTTGTTTTTTACATAATTTAAAAGATTAATGCATCTAAAAAATGTTACCTTATGTTTTGGGGCACACAATGTATAAAGACCTAATTTTGTGTAGCAATGACTGAAAGGGATGGGGACAAAGCTGTTAAAGGAGCAGTTTTAGTATGTTATTAACATTAAGATGCTATAAAATTCAAATTAGAATATTTTAACTAGGATGTTAAATGTAATCCTCATGGTAATCGAAAGAACAACTACAGAATATACACAAAAGGAAATAAGGAAGGAATTAAAACATTTCACCACAAAAAGGTGAACAAAAGACAGTCAATGCAGGAAATAAGAAACAAGACACAGAAAACAAACAGCAAAATGACCTAAGTCTCTCCTTATCAGCAATCATTTTAAATGTAAATAGATTAAACATTCAAGTCAAAAGACAGAGATTGACAGAATGGATAAAAACAATGATCCAATTATATGCTGTCTACAAGAGACTCACTATATATCCAAAGATGCAAATACACTGAAAGTGAAAGGATAAAAAAAGATATCCCATGCAAATAGTAACCAAAAGAGAGCAAGAGCTGACAGAAGACTTTAAATTAAAAAGGCAACAAGAGACAAAGAAACACAATATATGTTAATAAAGAAGGTATAACAATTATAAGCATATATGTACCTTATAACAGACTGGCAAAATATATGACAAAATTGAAGGGAGAAATACAGTTCTATAATAATAGTTGGAGACTTCAATACCCTATTTTAAACCAGACAGAAGATAAAGAAATAGAAGACTTAAAATAACACAATAAACCAACTATATCTAATGGACATACAGAACACTCTACCCAGCAACAGAATACAAATCTTCTCAAGTGTACGTGGGACATTTTCCAGGACAAACCATAAGTTTAGATTTATTTAAAAATAAGTCTAGATTTATTTAAAAATAAGTTTAGATTTATTTAAAAATAAGTCTAGATTTATTTAAAAATAAGTCTAGATTTATTTAAAAAGATAGATATCATACAAAGTATCTTCTCTGACCAGAATGGGATAAAGTTAGAAATCAACAACAGAAGTAAAACTAGAAAACCACAAAATTATAGAAATTAAACAACACATTCTTAACCAAAGAAGAAATCACAAAGGAAATTAGAAAACAATTAAATACAAATGAAAATGAAACCTAAATTTATGGGACACAGTAAAAAGTGTGAAGAGGAAAATTATAGCTATAAAAATGCTTATATTAAAAAAAATATGCTTACATTAAAAAGCAATAAAGAATCAAATCAACAACCTAACCTTATAACTTAAGGAACTAAAAAATTAAGAAGCAAACCTAAAGTTTTCAGAAAGAAGGAAATAAAAAAGTATGAACCGAGAGATAAACAAAATAGGGAACAGGAAAAGAATAGAGAAAAAAAAAAAAATCAATGAAACCAAAAGTTGGTTCTTTGAACAGATCAACAAAATTGAAAAACCTTTTAACTAGATGGACTTAGAAAAAAAAGAAAAGACTCAAATTACAAAAATGAGAAATAAAATTAGGGACATTACTATAGAAATGAAAAGCATAAGAGATTATTATGAAAAACTGAATGCCAAAAAGTTGGATAGCCTAGATGAAACAGACAAATTCTTAGAAACAAAAACCTACAAGGACTAAATCATGAGTAAATAAAATATGTGAGTAGATCTGTAATTAGTAAGAAGACTGAATGAGTAATCAAAAATTTTCTGGCAAATAAAAGCCTTGGACCTGATATCTTTACTGGTAAATTCTACCAAATGTTTAAAGAAAAATACCAATCCTTCTAAAACTTTAAAAAAAAATTGAAAAGTAATGAACTCTTTGTAACTCATTCAAGAATCCAGCATTACCATGATACTAAAGCCAAAGACACTGTAAGAGAACTACAGATCAATGAACGCTGATATCAAAATCCTCAAAATACTAATAAACCAAATTCAGCAGCATAATAAAAAGATTATACACCATGACCAAGCGAGATTTATTCCTTGAATGCAATGATGATCCAACATACAAAAATCAATCAATGTAATATACCTCACTAACAGAACGAAGAAAACCACAAAATTATCTCAATTGATATGGAAAAAGTGTTTGAAAATTAAATATCCTTTATGATAAAAACACCTAACAAACTAGGAATAGAAAGAAGCTACATCAACATAAAAGCCACATATGAAAAACCCACAGCAAACATCATACTCAATAATGAAAGAATGAAAGGTTTTCCTGTAAGATAAGGAACAAGGCAAGTCTATCTGTTTTCACCACTCTATTCAACAAAGTACTGGATGTTCTAGCCAGAATGACCAAGCAACACAGAAATAAAAAGCATGCAAATTGGAAAGGAAAAAGTAAAATTATCTCTGTGCACAGAGGATATAATCTTTTGGGTCAAAACCTAAAAGCATCCACAAAAAAAAAAAACCTGGCAGAATAAATTCAGCAAAGTAGCCAGATACAAAGTCAACACACAAACATCAATTGCATTTCTATATACAAGGAATAATCTGAAAAGGAAATTACAAAACAATTTCATTTATAATAGCATCATAATGAATAAAACACTTGTTCATTAACTTAACCAATGAAGTGAAAGACATATAATGAAAACTACGAATCATTGCTCAAAGAAATTAAAGAAAACAAATGGAAATGGAAACATATTTCATGTTCATGGATTGGAAAGTTTAATATTATTAAGGTGTTCAAAATACAGAAAACAATCTATAAATTTAATGCAATGTCTATAAAAATCCTAGTGACAGTTTTTGCAAAAATAGTAAAATCCATATGAAATCTCAAGGGACTCCAAATAGCCAAAAGAATCTTGAAAAGGAACAAAGCTGGAAGATTCACACTTGATTTCAAAACTTACTACAAAGCTACAATAATTAGTGTGGTACTGGCCAAAGGACAGACATATAGATCAATGGAATACAACAGAGAACTCAGAAATAAACTCTTATCTATATGGTCACATGATTTCTGACAAGGGTGCCAAACACATTCAATCAGTCTTTTCAAGAAAGGGTGTTGGGAAAACTGGATACCTACATGCAAAGAATGAAGCTGAACTACCTAACATCACATGCAAAAATTAACTCAAAATGGATCCGTGATCTAAATATAAGAATTAAAACGGGGTCAAAGCTTAATGACATTGAATTTGACAATAATTTATTAGATATGACAACAAGGATACAGGCCACAAAAGAAATCATACACAAAGTGGATTAGACAAAAATTTTTAAAAATTGTGCATCAAAAGATACTAACAGTAGAGTAAAAAAGCAATCGACAGAATGGGGAAAAGTATTTCAAGTCATGTATCTGATAAAGGATTAATACCCCAAATATATAAAGAACTGTTAAACCTCAACAACAAAAAACCAATAAACTTAAAAAATGGGCAAAGCAACCAAACAGACATTCCTGTACAGAAGATATACAAATGGCCAATCAGCACATGAAATGATGCTCAATCATTACGGAAATGGAAATCAAATCTACAACGAGATACCACTTCATACTCGCTAAGATGGCTACTATCAAAAACAAAAACAAAAAATAACAAGTCTTAGAGAGAATGTGGAAAAATTGGAACTCTTGTGCACTGTTGGGAATATAAAATGGCATAGCCTCTGTAGAACATGGTATGGCAGTTCCTCAAAATATTAAAGATAGAATTACCATATGATTCAGCAATTCTACTTCTGGCATATATCCAAAAAATTTAAAAGCACGGTCTTGAAGAGATTTGTATACCCATGTTTATAAGAGTATTATTCATAATAGCTAAAACCTGAAAGCAACCCAAGTGTCCACTGATAATTAGACAAGCGAAATGTGGTACATACATACAATGAAATATTAATCAGCCTGAAAAAGGAAATTCTGACAGATGCTGCAACACAGATGAACCCTGAGGACATTATGCTGAATGAAATAGCTAGTCAGAAAAAGACAATTACTATATGATTTCACTTATATAAGGTTCTTAAGAGTAGTCAAATTTACAGACAGAAAGTAGAATGGTGGTTGCCAGGGGCTGAAAATAGGTGGGACGTTATCATTTAATGGGTATATAATTTTAGTTTTATCAGATGAAAAGTGTCCTAGAGATAAGTGGTGGTGATGGTTGCACATAATGAATGTATTTAATACCACTGAACTGTACACTTAAAAATGGTCAATTTTATGTATATTTTACCACATTTAAAAGCATGAGAAAAAAGAGCAGGGTGGGAGACTGTTTTTTAATTCTTCATTTATAGCTGACATACAATATTACATTAGTTTCAGGTGCATAAATTACCTATCAAAATTTCTTTTTAGTCTACGGCCATGCCACCCTGAACAAGCCCGATCCTGTCTAATCTTGGAAGCTAAGCAGGGTTGGGCCTGGTTAGTACTTGGATGGGAGACCATCTAGAAAGACCAGATGTTGTAGGTGTAAAAAATAAAAATAAAAAATAAGGGATTGTAAGCTGACAAGGTTCTTGCAATCTGTGAAGTCAACCAAAGGTTGCCTTGCTTAAAAAAATTTTTCTAAAATTTCTAAAACCTTAGTTTAAAAAATGTTCAATGTTCATATTTTCAACGTTGATGCTCTTTACATCAAGAGCAAAGAACAAACAGTAGTATTGTGGACATATTTTTTAATCCCTATGAGAAGTGCTTGGTGTCAGAAATTTCTTATAGGCCTTTGATTGTATGGCTCCGCTGGTTAATAGAAAGGGCAGCCAAAAATAGCCTACTAAATTTCTAGGCACACAAGTCTCTTCTCAGATATGAGGCAACCATGGCACAAAACTACTGTGTGGCCTAAACAGTTTCCAGAATAAGAAATGCCAATTTTTTAAAAATATTAACGAGTTCGAAGGGTTACACTCACAAATTTTTTTTCTCCTACCCTGTTGTATTACTCACATACGTTTTTTGGAACAAATGTACCTGCAGGTTATATCTACCCTTGGAATCTGGAGTAAATGGGAAATAGTAAGAGGAGCAATTTAAAAACCACAGGAAGCTCCTATCCATGTCAAATACTACCTGGGAGCCAAGAAAAAGAGTTGATTTTCAAGACTAACAGATCAAGATGCTATTTTTAGGGAAACAGGACAGAAAATGTAGGAGTCAAATTGAATCTTATGGTCGGTACCTTGCTGGTACATGCTGGAAAAAAGACCGTCCTAGGGATATTGAAAAGTTATACGTTTCGTCCACCAAACACTTTGATTTTGGAACACAGATTTACCTGGATAGTGCAGCTCTTCCCTCTGTATCCACCCCATCTCCTGCCCCATACCCAATTCTTTTACCTATCACGTAGGTTTTGATCTTACAGAGGCTGCACCTTGAAGCAGGAGGTTAAGAGGAAATAGTGTCTGGCTGGCACCATCTGTCCCACTCTGCATTTATCATCACCACACTTTGATGGAAACCATTTAATACTTACTGATACTCAGCCACACAGTCCAGTAGACCTCCATACTTTAAGGTTTTATGCTGAACAGCGCTCTCAAGAGCTCGAACTCCATTGACATCTTTCAGAATATGCTGGACACTTTTGATGTAGCCAGATTCGAGATTTTCATCTCTCTCTTTTAAGTTCTCTTGGGGAGAAAGTATACTTTCCAAGTCTTCATGGAACCGTTTCCCTTGTAAAAATATCTCTGAAAAGAAAATTGGGGGAGAAGAAAAACAAAAAAAATACCAAACTAGTACTTAAAAACAAATACTCTTAAAAAAACTGAGTAATAAAATAGAAATAATGCAAAATTTATCTTTAAGTGACAACCCTTGAGATACCACATTTTAGCCTCTTATGAAACCTAATACACTTTGAAAACCAAAGGGACTAAAATAGCCTAAACAATAAAATGGATTAAAATAAAGTATTTCTAATTGAATTAGGCCAAATTAGAATTGAAGATCTGGGGGCTACTGGACCAGACTTAATTTATGGTACTGTGAATTTAAGTATCCAGTTTATAAGTGCTAATCATTAGAAATTTAGGAAATTGCACTTTTGTTTACACTTCTTTTTACAACCAAAAAATCTTATCTAATGAGGTAATATCAAACCATATTACGTTTGTCAGGTATTTTTTGCAAAGATTTTGAAAGGTCAGTTCTACCACTGGCAAAAAATGGATAGCTTCCAGGAAATTACTTGGGGAGTTAAATTAAATTCAACTGAGTAAGTTATTCTATTCCAAATTTACTTGGCTCAAATGGACTTAATGACAGCACAAGAAAGGCCTATAAGAAATTTAAGACTGATGAAATTAAAACCTAGGGAAAAGAAGTGTACTATTCATGTACAGATTAGCTTAATGAAGTAGAACACAAAGATGTTAAAAACAGGAAAAACTGCTTTATCAACTATATACTTGACCTCTCTGGCTAGGTTCTTCACATACAGGAGGCATAAACACAGGAATCTAGATTACAGGATACCTCAGACTGTAAGTCTCAGAACATCAAAAACGACTCAATTTGTCAAAACGAATTTTATAAGATTCAAGATTTACTACAGATAGCATCAAGTCAGAATATTCACTTAAAAATAAAAGTGCTTGGGTACCACTTACTGCTCTCTGGGAAGCATAGGCTAAGGAATGCTCAATGTAAACCTCATCTTTAATAAAAGACAATTACATAATCCTGATGGGGACCAGATAATTCACCTGTGCCATTGTTCTTTTTATCTTGCTTTTCAATGGAATCTGTTTCAAGGAACTTATTTTTCTCACTTGTCTAAGAATTTAGTAAATTAGGAGTTGAAGGCTAAAGTTTATTCTCAGATCCTAATCAAGAGCATCTGATTATCTCAATTTACCAAGATCTAAATACAGATCATGTGTTCTGGCTTATTGTTTATGAGTCAGTCTACACTGGTAAGTAGAAAAGGGGGTATTTAATGGATTCTGAACAGAATGCCTAGCAAACAACTAGAATTCCATTATTAGGTAATTAACCCCATAATCAAAGAAAACAGGCAGTGCTAATACTTAAGTTTTTAGCTTATAAAATAAATGAATTTTATACATCATTTGGTCAAAATACTTATCTCTGTGCTTCAGTTTCATTTGTGAAATGGGAACAATAGTCCCTATGGCTTATAGGGTTATCATGAGGATTAAGTGAGTTAAAACACAAAGTGATATTTAGAGCTAATTATTATTTGAAAGTAGTTCACTAGTTAAGGGTCAAAAATCTCAAAAGAATGACACAAGTGCTCTATATTCTAGAAAACATAGTAACAATACAAAACTAGAACTGAGAAAGTTACTTGAAGTATATTCTGCAAAGCCATCCTCTCCCAGTTCCAGAATCATCCGCTGTTTCCATCTTTCCAAATAGAAAAGCTGTTCTGATGTCATGGTCTGCTGAAGCACACGGGTCACACTTGTTATCTTATTCTTTTGCAAAGGGATTTTCAAAGGAATTGTAGCATCACTTGTTGCATTTGGTTTTAAGCATTTCTCTGGATTGAAGAGAGGAAACCAGTTTCCTGGAACCCCTGCTTCCTCATCTTGCTTCGGGGGTTTACACTTACTCACAGGTCCATAGAGTAAAGTATCTTCCTCGAATAATGATTCTGGAGTCTGAGCATGGCCTCTGAATGACAAGACAGACTGTACTAAATTAGAGTACTTTTCTTGGTTCACTTCTTCATAAGGGTTCATTTTTTTCTTCCGGCCACATGAATAAGAGGAAGTGAAGAAACCGACACGGAGGGCTGGTTCTACAGAGAACCCCTTTGAACTTCTAAGCTGTCTGCAGATGATCTGAAACGCCTTCATCTTAGATTTTTCTTTTCACTTCACCTTGCAATGCCGAGGGCCTTTTTAATTTTTGCATTCCTATTAAAGAGAAAAGTGGTGTTAGGTACCAAATATGTTAAATATTTGAACTACCTAAGTGTAAATTTCATTAGTATAATATTGCACATTAAAAGCGTATTCTATAAGTTTTTGCAACATATTTGGACAACTCTATTTCCAAAGACAGACTCTCATCAAAACCAGAAGGATCAGCACTTATTAAAATGCGAAATAGCAGACACCTTGGAGCAAGACATCCTCAATGTTCAATCTGAAGAAATATGACGCCCAGGAAGATGAAACAGAAAAACCCTAGAACCTGTATCCTATAATAATTCACCGCGGATCCTTAAATACCAGGTTCTTTGCTAAGTAGTCTATGAGATTTCTTTATCCCTCACACTAAGGTGGGTCCTATTGCGACCCATTTTATAGACATGGAACTCGAGCTTCTGAAGGGTCATGTAAGGTCCAAGCTGGTAAGCGGCGGTCAGCAGAGCACACCATCGTGACCCCCAAAAAGGCAGCCTCCCACTCTGCTGTAGGTGTGGAACCCTGGTGGGGCCAGGATTGGCTGTGGCGCCTCGGGTGAAGTCAGGATTAGGGAAGAGACGGCTTAAAAAGAAGCCTAACCCAGGGCAGGGGTCGGTACCTCAGAGGCCACCACCTTTTGTTTAACTCTCAGAGCGTGAACAACCTCTGCGCACGAGTATTTTCATCCGTCCTGCGCTTGGGTCTCGAGTTAGGCCTCACCCAAGGTACGGCGGTCTCAGCATGCACTGCGGCACTCACGCCCGCTCCTAGCCCCTAATTCACCTCCATAGACGCTCACGCCATTCGTGGAGAGTCCCTCCCCTCAGGCAAAAGCGCGGGCCCTCCAAATCGCGCCCTTTCTCTCTCACGAGATCTTGTTTACGTCACAGCTCGTCGCCATCTTGGACCCTGGCTAAGTAATAAGTTTCCCCGCAGTCGAGCGCGACCTTTCTTGAGACGCGTCGCGGTCGTAGAGTGTTTCTGTCTCCACGTTCCTGTATCACCCCTGCGGTCAGCGGTTTCCGCGTGGCCCGGACCAAGGGTAGGCTCTGCGTAGCTCCCTTGCCCGGCTCCAAGATGGACGGCAGCTGGTACGGGGGAGGCGGCACTGGGGGAGCACGTGGCGCTCCACTCGCTTTTCCTAGGGCTTCTGGGATGGTGGCGGAGTCCCGAGGTCTCCTGCCGCCGTCCGGCAGGGAGGCCAGCGGAGGCGGGGCCGCTGCCGCTCCTGAGAGCTACCCAGGCGGCAGCAGCCCAGCCTCTTCTTTCCTCGCTCAGTCAGGCGGCCCCCGCTCAAGGCCCGCGTCGCCATGGCCGCAGTTCCCGAGTTGCTGCAACAGCAGGAGGAGGACCGCAGCAAGGTGAGGCCCTCCCGGCTCTCAGGCTCCAGGAAGGGAGGCCTCGCCGACCTTCCGAAGCCCCACATTCCTTCCCGTATCTCCCGGGGCTCGCATCGAGGGGCTCGCCCACGCGGGAAGCACCACCAGACCCCGAGCGCGCTATGGCCTGTTCTCCCTAAAGGCTGGCCAGGGCGCTCCCTGCGGACCCGGGGAGGAGAGAACCGGTGACTCGGGACCGTTCCTTTTAGCGCGCGGCCCGGTGTCCCGTATCGAGCGGGCCCGTGGCGATTTTCTGGAGACCCGGGAATGTGTTCTTACGTAGGAAGTTTTTAAAACTTCTTTTGGCTTCGTGGGGAGTGGACAGGGAACGTGAAATCCACTTAACATGCAACAAACGACAGTTGGGTTTTGTTGCCTCCAAACTCCTACTTCAAAACTTTGCCCCAAATACTAGGGAAATTCCATCAAGTCAGAAATCTGAGGTATGTTCCTTACAACTTTTAATGCGCCACTGAGGGAGTTCTGTAACTTAGTAGGTGCTCAGATACTTCTTGAACTGAACTCGGTTACTTTTAAAGCCTGGACATTTATGTGAATTATCCCTGTGCCGCTTAAATCTTGAGGACTAGAAAGTGCAGTAAATTCAGGTTACCATAGTCAAAGTTTTCGAGACAGGCTCTCACTCTTATTGCGCTTTTGCATTTGGGTTAATTCTGCAATTCATAGTCGTTGGTATGAATCAGTTTTTGTGCAGAATCATCAACATAAATCTTTTTCTGACGGAAAGTGAAGAATAATCTAAATCAATATAAAAGTACAAGTGCTTGTAGATTTAAGTAACCTGGAAGTCATCCTAAAAGTTATATCGACTATTTTTCATCTAGTAAATACGACAGCTCACAGCGCGACTGGATCATTGCAACAAAGGTATCATTGGTGTATTACTAGAATGCTACTTTGTGCGTGATGGTCGGGTCTTGGTTTGCGTATTTTTATTTGAAAGTTGAAATAATAAATTTTTTTTACTAACACCGGAAGTGGGAACTTGAGACTACGATTCTTTCTAGAATGTTCCTCTCTAGAAGTTTAGGTGCTGAATAGGAATTTTGATAGCAATTGGATTCCCCCACAGGCACCTTTATTTATTTATTTTTGATACAGAGTCTGTTTTAGACAGCTATTTAAAAGGGCTTTACTGCTTCGACAGGCATTCATATTAGTACAGTATATGGTAGCTGGTATTTAAAATAACTTCATTCTGATCTAGCAAAATTGGAGGGTTATGAAGGCTGTTTCCTGCCTCGTTATAGTGGCTACAGGAAAGGATTATACAAAGTTTCTGATTTTTAATTACAGAAATAAAAAAAATTTAATAAAATATTACCCTAACACGTTTTCATTTTGCTTCCTAATCTAATATTGGTCCTGCGCTGCGGATTGTAGAAATAGTTTTTACTGTTCACCTAATGGGAGTTTGGGACAAGTGTGAAATAAGAGGCCAAATCTTGGGCAGAACGGCAGTCCCCAACATTTTTGGCACCTGGGACCCGTGCTCCCATGGAAATCTAAAATCTAATGCCTGATCTGATGTGCTGAGGTGGTGATCTAGTGCTGGGGAACCGGCTGCAAATAGGAAGCTTGGCTTGCTTGCCACAGACTGGCCCTGGGGGTTTGGAGACCCCTGCTATAATACAGCTTTGTTAAAATATTTTACTGAAAATGTTTTAATTTTAAACTTTACATTTGGCTTTGGAATCCCCATGCAAATAGGGGCTTATGGGATTTAAACCCATTAATAAAGAATATAAGTGATTCTTGAGGACTAAAAGAAATATTGGTCTATATCTAGTAACTTGACACAAATTGTCGGACACTCTTCCACCCAAGCTGGTGGAGAGTCAGATATCTCTAGAGACAACTTATACACCAGACAACAAAAAACTAAATCAGAGCAGCAACAAAAACAATGGCTCTGAAGAAAGACTATATAACCAACCAGCTACTGAAGTTAAGGCCACGTTATAACAGCACTAGGCTGGGAAGGGCTACCACCTAGTCCTTGGCAGAGCTTTCCCTATGTGCTCAACTTCTTAAGTCTATTATTAGCAATTTAAGAATCATAAAAAAAAGCCTGGGAGAACCCACACTCAATTTGCCTTAGGTTTGCTAGACTAGAGGGAATGAGACTATCACCATAGAAAAATACACATTTAATCTATGAGTGGGAACCTAAACATGATGCACAGCTATTTAAATAACTAACAAATAATGCCTGGAGAACCTAGAAGGTGCAAAATGATTGGAGGCCAGGATAACTTATTTTTATGGGAACAAGGTTCTGCATAATCTCCATTTTCTCCCTACCCACTAAAAACTCCAGACACCCGAGAAAAAGGGACAGGCAAGAGTGGCAGTTTTTGAGATGGGGCCCATTGTTGTTAATACTTTAACTTTTGCAGGAGCTAGATTTGGTAAAACCCTACTTTTCTAAAGGTAAAGATCAAAATATTTTTCCTATCAGTGGAGGACTAGCAAACCCCCCCTAAACTGCATTTTGGGAAAGGAGACAGATCCCAACACCTTCAGCGAAATCAAAGTGTCTGGAATTAGGACTTAGTCATAACAGTCCAAGCCTTAGCTCTGTATCAGTAGCTTGTGCAGTGTCTTAAGATCCCCATTTGTGAATCCTACTTCAAGGAGGTCTTTTTTCTTTTGGTGACTATAGGAAGAAATGGCCAAGAGAAGCTATTATGAAATTTTCTAGGTACTAACATCTAAATTCTCATTTGGTGTGAGACCTAGTAAGTGACTAATATCTAATGTAGAGCTTTAGTTCTAACCAGGGTTTCTCAACCTGAGCACTGTTGATATTTTGGGCTTGATTTTTGTTGTGGGAAATTGTCCTATGCATTGTAGGGTGTTTAGCAGTATAACTGGCCTCTCTACTGGGTGACAGTAGCTCTCATCCAGTAGCGACAGTCAGAAATACGTGCAGACATTGTCAAGTGTTCCTTGGTTGAGAAGCACTGGTTTATTAAACTTACCTTTTAAAAATGGTGTGATATGGGTGGATCAGGTTGTTTTACAGAGGCTAATCTTTAGTGTGCCTGTTTGTTTCAAGTCTTTATATCTACGATTGTTAAATTTTAAAGAAATAACGTGACTTATAAAACAAATATCATTGACTATCTTTGGCGAAGTTAGCTCCCCTCTCCCCTGCCTCTCGTGTTGAGGAACCTTTGTCAAAAGGTGATTTTCTTCAGTGGGTTCTGGGCAGTTTAGGATTTGAAAGAAGCAACTGATTATTTACTGTATTGGAGTTAAGTGCCCACTTCGGATAGTAGAAACCTAAGGCTCTGTTGCTACAGCATTCAAAACTGTGGGCTAGAAATGAAGTGAAGCTCATTGAGAAACACTGCGGGTAGTACTTGGTTTAAACTCCTTTTTGAACATTTTGCTCTATTGTCAAGGCCTCCTTGCTGGAAGAAATTAGGCAAGAATAGTTTTGTAGGTGAAAGATACATGCAGTGAAGTTAAGTAGTATTTAGGGAAACAACCTTTTAATGAACCCAGTTATTTTGAGCAAAGTATTTCAAAGCATTGTAAATTCTACCTTTTCTTTTTGAAGTCGTGAAGGAAAATGGCTGCAGGAAGACATCTTGTTGCACATGAATGTGTCAAACTTGTTTTTACAAGAAGTTTATGATCTAGCCTTCCAAAAAGATTTTTCACTTCCAACACCATTATTTTCTGATTGGCCATTGAGTTAAGAGCTTGTTAGCCCTTCTAAAAGAGAAGAGGTATGTGGAATTTGTCAACTGTTTCATACCCCAGAGGCAAACTGTAAATACACAGGAGTGTGTAAGTTGCAGTTAGGAAAGACTGAACTTATTATTTAGTTCAGATATTGGGTCCTTGGCTTGTCTCGTTTCCCTCCTGCCCCTTTTTTTTTAAACAAATTTGGTGTAACTTTTTGAGGCACTGCTGAGTGTTCTGGAGAGAAAAGTAATTTTCCCAGCACAGCAACTTACACTAACCTGTGGTATGCATGTTCTACCTGGAGAGTTTATGGTTTACTTGTTTTTGAGAGGCAGACCCCCTCACTTTCATTCTAGACAGTGTAAATAGTACAAATGCAGAAGCCAACTTCAGCTTTGACTGGATCTTTTTCGAAGAGCAGGACAAAGTTGTTAGTGATAAAATGAAGTATTGGAATATTTACATTTAAATGACCTGGGAAGTGTGTGGTACC